TCATTCCTGACTCGGACGAAGAGGATCCGTACGAGGGGCGAAATATGGATGAGAGCGATGATGGTGGGACGGGAAGACAGAAGAGAAACGAAGGAGTCAACGGAAAGAGAAAGGCCGTTGTTCTTGCTGTTTCTTCTTCTGAGGATGAAGGATATGCGAAGAGGCGTAAAAGGCGCAGGTGAATTGTTAGCCTTTTGTGGGCAGCGCGTACCTCTCCTCAACCCTGTACTATAGCATTCTTGAACTCTGCCAACTCTGAGACCTCTCTTGTATCCCATGAGCACGGAAGATGCAAGATCTCTTGAACAAGCTAGGAACGACCTAATCAGCTCTCATGAGCAGAAAATGCAGTGAGTTTTACAGGGCCTTTCAATTTAGGTTGTAACTCAGCTGCTGACCTCTACGGCCGCTCCTAGGCAACTCATCGAGGAACGTAGGGCGCTTGCAAAGGATGTATTCGCTCTGACAAGAGTTTCGGGTGCATTGATGCGTTTGCCTGCTCTGACTTCCATCAAGGAGGAGCAGTTTCGCCAGTTCATGGATTCATTTCCAATGTCCAGGTAAGTTCTTTGGAGATAAAAGATGTAATATGGGGCCTCATTCTGCTAATAGTACCAAGTTTGTTTCAATGGGACCATTCAATCCCTCCAGCCTACCATCCAAGGAATTCTTGCTTGGAGCAAACATGACGACTATGAATGGCTCCTTGCCATCCAACGCTCTGGGAAACATTCCCGCCGTCAAGATAGATTCCTATTACGATGACACAGAAGATGTAGACGAACAAATGGATGTGGATGACCTCAACGGTTTCCCCTCCAAATATAAGCTCAAGTTGAAGTGGGGAAAGAACGCTCGTCACGACAATAAACCCGTATCCTCTTCACTTTATTCATCGGAATACTCTTCAAAATTGCCAACAATTCCACCACATCTTCTCAACAAAGACTTGAGCCGCTTGTTAGAGCCTCCAGCCTCTGAAGTCAAGGACGGCAAGGCCCAGTCCCCTCCAATTGATTTTAATCGCTGGCAAGCTACAATAATTTATAACCCGGCGTATAAACTGGTTCGAAAGGCGTCGAAATGTTTGACAACATCTGATTGGAACACGGCTATACAAGAGCTCGTCTTAACCCGTGCTTTCGAAAGAATAGAGGAGCTACGGACCTCTGATCAATGGTCTTTTCGACAACCAAAACGTCAAATAATACCCCATCCGAAGGACCATTGGGCTTACTTGTTGGACGAGGCCGTAAGTTGTGACCTCCCCACGCTTCTTGTGCCGATCTAATAATTCTGTAGAAATGGATGCAAGCCGACTTCCGAGAGGAAAGAGAATGGAAGCGCACCCTTGCATATGAAGTGGCTCAGGCTGTCATGGAATGGCACCGTTCAACGCCTGAAGAACGTATCGGATTGCGCGGGTTCTATCAACCCCCGATCATCGAAGATATTGGAGAGCCAATCGAACGTGGTGTACCAGAAGGAGACGACGAAGAATATATTGAATTGTCCAAAGCAGCTCAGTTGGCCATTCTTGCGGTCCCGGAACTCGATGCCAAAGTAGAAGAACAAGCCATCACGATGGATGTTCAGGAGGATGAGCCGGTAATTAAATCGCCAAAGGTCGATGTGACAGAAGAATCTGTTCAAAAAGAGCCAGAGTTCACCATGAAGATCGAGGATAATGAACCTAACATCCCACCGATACCCCAAGACGATAAAGACCCTATTTTACCTGAGCTCACTCTTCCAATAGACGATTATAAAAATCCTGTGTTATTCGTTCTACCAGAGGAGACCAAGGCTATCGATCTACTCCCTCATTTCGAAGAAATAAGAGAGCCCATCTTGGAATTGGATTCTAAAGCGCTTTGGGTGGACCCCTTGGAACTAGACATTCCTGATACTCAAGAGGTGAAAGAAGATGAACCAGAAAAAGTCACTCCAGATATAGCTAGACCCAATGATAGAGCAAGACGTGCTGATTGGGAAACATTGTTCCCCGACTTACCCTTATATGAGATGCTGTCTCCTCCCGACTTCAATAATCGTAGATTAACAAGTCGAGAGGATGAGGTTCAATCAAAGTCCATAGCAATTTCACCATACGCCAACTCTCAGCCCCTCGTCCTAGGTGCTTTACAACCAGCTCTACAGCTGCATAATGGGCAATGGCAGACCTTCGATCTTGCTCCAGTATCTGCGGAAGAAGGACAAAGACCAGTACCGATATCCTCTCGTTCCGGTTCGTACCTATCCAAATGGAGATCTATCTAACTGACTAAATTGTTTTGGACAGAACGATCTAGGCCACCATCATCTCTCAAGCTTGCACAGCGTATCAGTGAAGCAACTCCCCGATCTCCTGCTTGGTTTCCCTCTGAGGATGCTTTACTCCGGAAAATTGCTCCGGAACTGCTCTATAACTGGAGACTCATTGCCGATGCCTTTAACTTCTTCTATCATTCCAACCAGATGGAACAACGTACAGCTTCCCAGTGTTATGTACGTTACGAATTCTGTTTCGGCAATCAAAGCACTACGCTCGAGGGGGATACCTCTATAGATACATTAGATGGTGACGCCTTCACCAAATATGCAGCGGCCCGGGCAAACAGTGCGGCAGCAGCCTCACGAAAGCCAAAGGTCATCGAGGATTTTGTACCAACAGCTAGTCCTCATGATGATGACCCTAAATTCATGCGCCATAAATTCATTCACAGGGCTATCAAAAGAGTGATGAAGAAACGGGAGGAAGATTCAAAAGCACGAGGTGTGTCTGACTCTTCATCTTATATGGACATTTGGCTCAATATAGGATAGACGTAACGCATCGTGTCATGCATCCGCATCAGTCCCATGAGTCAATCATTAAATCCAAAGTTCTGACCCCTCAAGAATTGGGTCGGATGAAAAGAGAAACAGAAGAAAAACGTTTGATCGATCTACAGAGGCGAAGGCAAATGGAGGTTAAAATGAGGATGGCACAAGCTCAGGCGGCTCAGGCTCAGGCGCAAGGTGGACAAGTAGCGCTACATGGTGCCACTGTTGGCGCATTACCTGGAATGGGAAACCCACAAATGAATGGTGGCCCAGCGCAAATGGCAATGAGAGGACCAGGTGGCGTGCCGAATATTTC